CCTGGTCTGGGGTCAGAGAGACTTCTGGGAGAAGGTGGGCTTTAACATCAAGATCTGAAGGATGAATGAGACAAAGTATGTGGGTGGGAAGGGGGAAGGAAAAGTTCCCAGCAGAAAAACGGGCTTGGGCCAAGCCTGGAGGCAAGAGGAAGGTGAGGGAGGTGGACCCCTTGAAGGAACCCAGAGGAGTTCACGCCTGCCCAGTTTTACAGTCCTCTCGCTCCCCACAACCCGCTCCCCACCTGCTCTCCCACCCTTCAAACTGACTCCCAGTCTTTCCACCAGAGAGAGCCCTCGTCAATGAATGCATGTAAGCTAACCCAAGGCAGGACTACCCTGACAATCTGGGGTTAGGGCGTTTGGGATAAGATAGCGCAGAAGTGTCCGGGCTCCCACTAGGCTAAAATGAGCTGATCATTCCTCTGGGGGTGGTGGTTGCTTTTATGTGAAAAAATAGGACCTTATGTTGGGATCAGGTGTTAAAGTCTGTAAAATTCTTTCCCATCTATGTACTCACTGGGTCCTCGCAACAACCTCGAGAGGTGGACAAGGCCTCTATGATGACCTTATTTTACAGAGAGAGACATCAAGGTCCAGGGAGGTGAAGTGACTTGCCCAGAGTCATACAGTAAGTCTGTGGCATGGCCAGAGCTTGGACTCAGGGCCGCCTGCCTCCAGGGCTCGTGCTCTTTGCCCCGTCCCACTGTCTAGAGAGCGGGACAAGCGTCACTCATAAGGGAGGCAGACGGTCATGCCAACGCGTTGTTCAGGGCCCTGGGTTCAGAACAAGGTGGTCTTGAATGCAGGAGGATTCATCTGGGCCTTGAAAGATGGGTGGGATTTGGAGAGGTGCAGGTGGGGCCGGGAAAAGATACGTGGGGTGGGGGGAACGGCTTGAGCAAAGGTGTGGCAGTAGGAGAGCACAGATTGATGTCAATAGCAATAATAATTGTTATATGACAATTATTAGTAACTATTATTAATATAATTATTAATTATTATATATTGAATAATAATAATAATAATTATTATTATTATTATAGCAATCACTTACTGGGTTAGTTTCACATACATCATCTCATTTAATCCTCACAAGAATCCTGTGAAGGAGGTCTGCTGTGACCCCATTTGACAGATGAGAGAAGTGATGCCCCCAGAGGTCTCACAGATAGCGATAGAACTGCGGGTTTGGAGGCAGCAGGCCTGGGTTCTGATCTGGGCTTTTTACTCTGGCCGGATGACCGTGGTGAGTGACTTCTCTTCTGAGGACCTGTGTCAGAGTGGCATTGGGGGCGTACGAAGACACTGCCTGTTAAGCCCCTGCCTGTTAAGCCACATCGAGTTTTGTCATTGTTATTAGTATTGCTCCTACTCTGTCTCAGCCCAGCTCAGCTCGGCCTGCACATCTGGGACTCTGCCAGGATGGTTCTGGGGAGAGCTTGGTGAGGGCAGTGGGAAGTCACTCTGGAGGCTACATCGCATCCTAGCATCTCCCCTGAAACCCCACGGAGAGGCAGGAATGTGGTCCGGAGCTGGTTGAGGGTCATCTGAAGGGCTGGCCAGGCTTGTGTTTGGCAGCTCATAAATGCCCAGGAGGAAAGGGCGGTGAGGGGGAGTTTCCATTGTGTCAGCAGCAGCCTCCCCCACCACTGTGGCTCCTGAGAAGCTTGTAAACCTGTCACTATGTGGGGGAACTCCCTGGGAGCTCTGCTAGGAGCCAGATGGTGAAATCGGGGCTCCACCCAGGACCACTGGCCATTGGGGGAGCATTGGTGCCGTGCACAGGACCAACATCTTGAGGCCCCATGTTGGGGCTGCTCCCCCTGCTGGGCCAGCATCTCCTCCATGAAACCTGTCCCAACTATGTCTGCCATCTTGGACTCATGGGGAAAATAGCTCTAGTGTTAGATGCTGAGTAGGGTAAAGGACCCTGGAGATGACATTGGAAGACCAGGCTCAAGTCTCGGCTCTGCCACTTAATTGCTGTGTGACCTCAAACAACTTGGTTAACAACTTGGTTTTGAATTGCAGCTCACTCATCCATAGAATGGGGACCCTAAGGGGTCATTATGCATGTCAAAGTGCAGGGAGGGAGCCCTTCTGTGTGGTGTAGAAAAGAAGCCTTACCCCCACCTGGTCCTTGGATCAGCGCTCAGGGAAGGGAGGCTCTAGGGAATGGTTCTTCCAAGGCCTGGATCTCGGCTCCTAGATGTCTCCACCATATTTGCCCAGAGCCAGTGTTTTCTGTACATTTACCCAGGGCCCCAGGACCCCAACTGGGATGGGTGGGAAGAAGAGGAAGCATTTTGAAGGAAGCTGAGGTGGTTGGTCCTGCATTTGGTCCATGGATTGGATTCTGAGCAGAGACCAGAGGGTGATGGGGTGAGGGAAGCGGCATAGGAGAGGCTCTCTAATCAGCTGCTGGGCTCAGCAGGTTTAGAAAAACTGCTTTACTGAGGTATAATTGAAACACTAAACCACACATTTAAAGTGTACAATTGGATGAGTTTTGACATATGCATACTCTCATGAAACCATCACCACAATCAAGATAGTGAACACATCCATCACCCCAAATGCCTCTTGTGCCTTTGGTAATCCCTCCCTCTCTCCTCCCACTCTCCCCAGCAATGACCAGTCTGCTCGTTATCACTATAGCTTGGTGTACGTTTCCTTAGAATTGATACAAACGGGACAGGATGGAAGGAGAGGAAGGGTTTTGAAAGGAATGCGGGCCCCGCAGTTGCTCCATAGATTGTGTATGCGTTTTTTAACTACTGGCTTATTTCACTCAGCATAATTAATTTGAAATTCATCTACGTTGCTGCCCATATCAGTACTTCATTCCTTTTTTACCGCTGAGTAGTATTTCATTGTATAGATGTGCCACAATTTGTTATCTGTTCACCTAGCAGATGTTTTTTTTCCTTTATGCTTTCGTTTCTATGTATATATACATTCCTAAGCAATACGTAATGTTACCTTTTACCAGTGGCGTATTTTGAAACCAAGAGTCAAGCTGTTTCTGAAGCTGACCTGAGCCCAATTGGTACTTGTTCCAGAGAAGGCACCTGTAACCATTTCCACGCTTTGCCCTTCACCCCAACTGTCCCCTTCTCTGGAATGACTTTCCTTGCTCTTCATTATCCAGGGGCCACTCAGCCTCTTCCAGGTAGCCTTCCCAGACTGTCTGAGTCTCCTCTGAGCAATTTCAGTCCTCACTGCATGGCAGCTTTCAGAGCCCCTGGGCACTGTTTGACGATTCCACGATTCCAGTCTTGTCTCCTTAGTGAGAGCAGGGCAAGCTCCTTGTGTCACCCCCACCTCTCACCTTATGGGCCTGGCATGCAGGAAGCTGCTCCAGAGAGGCCCGGAGGCTGACACACAGGCTGTCCAGTTGGCCCTGGACAGGGGACACAGGTGTCTAGGGCCCTCTGGGAAGGAGGAAGCAAAAACGCAAAGTGATGCAAAGTGATGCAAACACGGCCCGGACTGAAATCTGGGATTCCTCCTTCCCACTCTCCTCCCTCCCTGTCTTCCTCTCCTTCCTGGAAACCCCTCCTCCCCTTTGGGGAGCGGCAGGCGTCTGGGCAGGCCTGATGCTGACCAAGCTTTCTGCCTTATTAAATTCTTGCCTCAGAAGAACCAAAATTTAAAACGTCCCAGGCCTCTGTCACATTCCGTGGCTTTCTACTTCCCCACTCCCATCGCCCCCTCCTCCTTGTCTCTCCTCAAGATGATGGGGTAGGTGAGGCTGCCCCTCCTGATGGATGGGTCACAGATATTGGGGGAAGAAATGAATACCCCCGCACCCAGCCCCCAGCTGCCAAGGCCGTGCGTTAATTCTGCCAGTGCTGCTGACGCATGTCTCAGAGCCACAGAGTAGAGGCTACCCTGAGAGGCGAAGTGACTTCTCCAAGATCACACAGCCAGTTAATGACAAACATCAGCCACCTGACACCTTGTTCTGTGTTCTTTCCTCTTTCTGCCTTGTCTCTTGGACACCAACCCCACATGTTTGTAAAGCACCTTTTCCCGGACCAAGGCTTGTCCCGTACTCTAACCTATTTTGGGGTGTGGTGGAGCTGTCTGTAGAAGAAAGAACCGTACCTCTTTGGCCAGGAGTTCTTGAGGAAGATCTGAGTTCCATTAGGAAGCCTGGGAGGAGAGGCCCACCGGTGTCCAAGATGCAGGCACTGGTAGGGTAAAGTAGAAAGGCAGCCCGTGATAGAGGGAGGTGGCCTTGGGGGAGGAAAGAGATGGGCGTGGTCCTAGGGCTGCAGAGCCTGCCACATCCACCTTCCTGGTCTCCGGTGGCAGCCCCACGGTCACTTGTTCACTGCAGCTCAGCCTTGTCAGCCCAGATCCAATGCCTTCTCCTTTTCACCTTCCTGAGAAGTGACCTGTCTGCATGCCTTTTGGCACTTAGCACTGCCTGCCATTTGTATCTCAATTTCTGTCTGTGTCTTATCTCCCTTCCTGGAGTGTTGGCTTCTTGAGGACAGGATCTATGTATGTCTCATGCCTATATCTTCAGTGCCTAGGACAGGGCTTGGTATTCAGCAGATACATAAATTATAGTGGTAGTGTGTGACAGTGTATGGTGGTGGATGTTGGTCGTAGATGCTAATTTATCACAAAGGTAGCTGGTGGCAGGTAGGTGGTAGTAAATACTAGTGAGCAATAGTAGATGGTAGTTGGTAGTGGTGGCGGTAATGATGGTGGGAGGTCACGATGGGTGAAGGATGAGGGTAGATGTCGGTGGGAGATGATGGTAGATAGTAAATGGTGATAGATAGTGAAGAGGGAAATAGTAATAGATGGTAGTAGGAGAAGGATGGTGGCAAAAGGTGGCAGCAGTGGTGGGTTGCAATGATGGTAGAAATATCGGGCAGTAGGTGACTTCTGCTAATGCCCCAGCCATCTGCCCTTTCCTAGGAGACTCTAGTCCAGCTCTTGGACTGCCAAGTCCTCTGACACTGTGACTCGTTCCTTTGCAGATTCCATCGGGGGTCCCTTCCCTGTCACCTCTCACCGATGCCACCACAAGCAGAAGCACTGCCCACCAGTGCTGCCCGGCGGGGTGCTCCCGGCCACGCCACTGCTCTTCCACCCACACACCAAGGGCTCCCAGATCCTCATGGACCTCAGCCACAAGGCCGTCAAGAGGCAGGCCAGCTTCTGCAATGCCATCACCTTCAGTAACCGCCCGGTCCTCATCTATGAGCAAGTCAGACTGAAGGTGGGCCTCTGACCTTTCTCCCCATCACTGCCTTCTGTCACGGCCATCACGACACCCTGCCCCTGCCCTTTCTTCTCTGCTGCCACTGCTACTCTTCCTCCTCTTTCTTTTCCTTCTTTCTCAACCTTCCCTGAGTGACAAGGGAGGACGGGAGTGGCCATGGGGACAACCCTCTCTCCAGACTGGTGGGAAAGCTCCTGGGAGTGGGAAAGGAGCCCAAATGGTGGGTGAGCTGGGCAGTGTAATGGCCCACGGGAGCCTGCCCGGGGGCGGTCTGCTGAGAAGGGCGCACTCCCTTCCCCTGGGGCTTGCTGAGGTGGGGGAGGCTGGGCTGGGCTGGGGGCTGTCTGAGGCCGACCCCCCTACTGCCCAGATCACCAAGAAGCAGTGCTGCTGGAGCGGGGCCCTGCGCCTGGGCTTCACGAGCAAGGACCCCTCCCGCATCCACCCCGACTCCCTGCCCAAGTATGCCTGCCCCGACCTGGTGTCCCAGAGCGGCTTCTGGGCCAAGGCGCTACCCGAAGAGTTTGCAAACGAGGGCAACATCATCGCCTTCTGGGTGGACAAGAAAGGCCGCGTGTTCTACCGCATCAATGACTCGGCCGCCATGCTCTTCTTCAATGGGGTCCGCACGGCCGACCCGCTCTGGGCCCTGGTGGATGTCTACGGCCTCACGCGGGGCGTCCAGCTGCTTGGTGAGTGACCGCTCCCTCTGGCCCCTTAGGTGCAGGGCACACCTCCAGGTACTGTGGTTTGAAGGCGACCTCAGACTCTCTGGCTGCTCTTGGGTCTCCAGCGCGACTCCCAGTCCAGGATTCCTCCCCCTTTGCTACACTGGTGTGCATGCCGGCACGTGTGTGTGTGCGCACATATAGGCTTTGCATACAAATCGGCCCATAGGCAGATTGGCTGTGTCTCCAATCTGGATTGGTGGGAAGATGAAATTCAGTTAAAGAGGCTGTGAGTAAAGTGCCCAGCTCCGTCCTGGGGACCAAGTCGGTGCTCACCCAACACCTGTTCTTCCCACCTCCCATGGAGGTAGTTGAAAGACTTTTCTTGTTTCCTTTCTGATTTCAGAGCTGAGAAACAGTGAAGCCAATCTTTTCAAAAACACTTTTATTTGAATAAGAATAGACAGTGGAGAAAAAAGAGATAGTGAAGGTAAAAACAAAGAAATGAGTAATCCTCAGAAGCCTTTCTGTTTGTTGAGTTTCAAACACAAGGAGGTTGTTTTTATTAATTAGTAGTTTGAGAACTTTCTGGTTTCAACTCAATGAAAGTGTTTCTACATTCTCACGGACGTATTAGGGCTCTTCTGAGTCTCAGCAAGCGAAGAGAGAGCCCAGGTTACTCGAGGATAAGCTGCTTTCCAGTCCTTCTGTGGCCCCTACGTGCCCCGGACACAAAGGGCAGTGGTTATGTTCCCAGGCTAGAGTCAGACAGACCCAGTGTGGACCCCGGACAGCCTGTACTAGCTGTGGGACCTCAGTTGCCTCATCTCTAAAATGGGGTAATAACTGTTTTCAGGGTCCCTGAAGGCTCAAAGAACTGAGTTACGTGAAGCAGCTGACACACAGTAGGTATTTGTTGACTCAGTCATTTCTACTCATCCTAAAGAGGGCAGTGCTTAACCCAAGGTTCAAGAGACTGCCTTCCTGCCATTCTGGTATCCTTAGGGCCCCACATTTCAAGGCACTGGGGTCCCAAAGCTTGAGTCTGAGCTTCAGCATGGACATTTCTGTCTGAGCCTCAGTCTGCTCATCTGTGAAGTGATTGGGAATACTCTGACTTAGTCCAGGGTTTAGCCACAGGGTGGGAGACAGAAGAATGTCTCAGCTCTTGAGAAAGCCACAGTCTTGTTACGGGGGCAGAAGGAAAGTGGGGGCCATCCCACTCTGGCTTCAAGACCCAGCTCAAAAGCCACCTCCTCCCTGAAGCCTTCTGGGATAGAATTCTCTTCTCCATTCCTTATGTTCCACTGCATGGCACCCGCACTTCTCTCGGTGCTGAGGTGTTGGCCTAGCCTTGGTCCATTCATATGTCTGTTCCCACACAAATTGGGGAGGGCTCTGAGGGAGGAACCTATGTCTCAACCAGCCAGCTTCCTCTCCGGAGTGGAATCTTGTGCTAGCTGTGTGGAGGATGCTGAGGAAAATTTGCAGGGTGGGTAGAGTAGAGCGGTGGGATGGGTGGATGTCTTGTTAGATGAAGGAAAAGGTATGGGGGATGCTGAGGTAGACCCAACCCTGCCCTAGGCTCACTGGAAAATTAGGGAGACAAAGCAAACACTCCAGATACAATCAGAGCATAAGTGGAGAGAAGACACTAAATTGCTAAACGCTGTGGTCATAGGGTCTCTTCCCTCTGCGGAGGTGGTTTTTCCTCCGGTTATCTCGTTTAACTAACTCTCAGCAGCCAGCCCAAAGGGAGTAGTTTTTTATCTTCATTTGGCAGGGAGCGAATTGAGGCCCAGGGAACACCTGGCTCGCCTGTGTAGGGATGTGGCACAGTTGGGACTTGAACTGGGTGTTCTGGTGCCCAACGCAAAGTCTTTCCCATTACCCTCCAGTGGGGTTAAGCATGAAGGGAGGCAAGAAGTCAGAGGAGGCCGAGGTCAGTGAGGGACGATGGGGTCCAGAAAGACTTCTTTCCAAGAGACGGCTTAGGCTGGGACTATAAGTTCCAGGAGGGCTGGGGTGGGGGAATGGGGAGAGTGGATATGATGGGGACATGCCAGGTGAGATGGGGCTTCCGAACGTCAGGGACTGAGGGAGGGGCCTGGAGAGTAATATGCCGCGCCCTGGGGCAGAGCCCAGACATCTGACCTGGCCCAGCCCCATTCCCCCTCTTTGACTATAAATGGGTTTTCATGCAGTACCATTTGGATTTCCCAGCAGGCTCCTCTCTGTACACCCGATAAGGCCCGATAAGGCCGAGGCCCCAGCTGATTTCCGTCCCAGCTGTAAATCACCATAATCCCTGGGCATTTTCAAACACTGAGTATGGCCCTTAAATTCAATTAGCAGATTAAAATATCTCTTCGTTTTGTTCTTCCTAAATGGATTTTTAAAAAAGAGATCTGTCCAAGGTCTCTTCAGAGGTGGGCGTGCTGTTCCTTCTATGCCCTCATTTGGTCTCCCACCCTCTGGGGTACGCCCACTGCCCTGCGTAGAGTGCTCCTCTTTCCTCTCCCCCCACTTCCCAGTGCCCCTCTCTCCCTGTCTGCCGCTTCACTGCACCTGTGTTCTTCTGGGCCTCCCTCCCTCCCTCCCTCCACCTGGGTCCCTCCGGCTCCTCTGGCTTTCTCTGCTCTCGCTCTGAAAAAGTCACTCTTTTTTGATGGCTCTGAGGATGGGCCTGTCTTTCCTAGGGTGCTTGTTCCCCAAACCAGTGTCTCATCTTTAGAGACTTCCTGCCCGGCCTGTCTCCTCCCCTCCTGCCTGTCTGGAACCTGTGACTAGCACCCTCTAAACCTCACCTGGCCAGTGTCTGCTCCTCAGACCAGAGACACCCTGGGGGGCCTGGCATATAGTAGGTTCAAGAGTCAGGCCATGGACAGATTGGCCATCTTCCCTGACAGAGTGGAGGCAGGGTGGTGTTTCTCCCTAATCGATACCTCGGGGTGGGTGTCCCATCCCCTTCCCCAACAATAACCCAGGCCCTCTGGTGCCCACACTGTGGCCCCAACTAGCCTGCATCAGGCCGTCCAGGCTCCTGTTATGTGGGAGTTCAGCAGATCACCCTGTTCCCTTGGGGCACCCTGGCTCAAGCCTGGCTGGTATCTCCAAGAATAACAGCTTCCAACCTCCAGGAAGAAGGACCCGCCAGTAACTAAATAAATATAAGTTTAATGGGGTGATTAATACTTGGAGAGATAAGCTCCTATCCCAGTTTTTCAAGCTCTCTCGGCTCTTCTCAGAAATGTTGGCTCAGGAGGAGCAGCCATGGGTCCTGGCAGAAAGCAGATGAGCCAAGATGTACTTACAGGGTGCTCCTGAGCACCCCTCCATGCCCACCATAGCCCAGGCACTGTGCAGGAGTGGGGGAAGACACAAGAATTGAAAACTTCTCTTCTTGAAGAGTTTAGTTTTTTTTTACTCAAGCATAGAACTGCTCTGAGGTAACCTAAGTCCAATTCTGCAATTAAGGGTAGCCGAAGACTAAGACTGGGGGTGGGGTGGGGTGCAGCTGGGGAGCAATCCGGGAGGACTTTCTATAGGAGATGAGTTTTAAGTCAGGAACCAAGGGAAGTGAAAAAAATGGACTGGTTGAGGAGGAACAATTCAGGCTAGACAAGAAGGGTGTGCATAGGCACAGAGTAGGGGAATCAGTGGTCATTCAAAGAGCAGATCCTTCAGGGGAGGGGTGAGCGGAAAGGTAGTGAGTGTCTTGTGGAGATTGGGGAGCCATGAGAATAGAAAGTTTCCAGCACCTCTGTGCCGTTGTGCTGTCAGGTTTTTCAGTAAGAGGAGATGTGGCCTAGAGATGGCGAGGGGCCTAGCTAAATTTTCCCAGCCAGTCAGAAGCCAGGCCGGCCTGGAATTCAGATCTCCCAGGCAGATCTGGGTATAAGGTTGGTGTGAGAAGACTTATTGCCACATCAAAAATGGTAGTGGCTGAGCCCAGGAGGGCATTAAGAGGGCATTAGGTGGGGGCTCCCAAGGGCATGTGACATTTTGCTTCTTCCCTACCTATGCCTAGGTTCCCAGGTCTTGGTTAAAAACCCCACTGAGGAGAGAGATGTATGGAGACTCTCAGGGTAGCTTACTGAAGGCCAGGCTACTGCCAGGCCAGTTTCTGGGGTGGCGGGCCAGCCTGGCTGCCCTGCAGTGAGGGGCCTGGGTCTCTTTGAAGATAGGCCCTGGGTCAGGTCCCCCCTCTAGGGTGTGCCTTAGCTTAGCTTGGTGGCACAAAGAGTGTGAGCCCTCCCTGGCCAGCTGAGGACCACACTGCCATCTGGGGCTTCCGTTTCTCAGGCTAAACCAATATTTACCTTTAGCCATGGCTGCCAGGGGCTGAGAGGCAAATATTAGTTTAAGGAGCCTGAGCCAAGCTCTTGGGATGGTGGGGGGGTGGCGGGGGGAGAGCTGAGGATGCTATTCACGATTGCTTCCTCTTTGACAGTTTTCATTTCTTCTTGATTGAAAAAATGCCTTGCTATTCCTTTTGCTTCAGAGACTCTTCCAGGTATTTCCTTTTTGCTCACCCCAAATTCTGACAATTATATCAGGCCCCAACACCAAAATCTCCCCACCATCAAGGAGCCTTCCCTTACCTCTGCTGTTCTCGATGACCCTTCCTCTTCCTGACCACCGGAAGCATTTGGAAGTCTAAGTGGTATCAGCAGTTCTGCATTATGCATTGTCTTGCTCTTTAAGAAGGCAGCGTAAATCCTCTTTGTATATGTTATAAAGAAAGTTAATATTGTATCCATTTTGCAAAGAAACAGAGGCTCAGAGAGGTATGATAACTTGCTCAAGGTCACACAGCTTGGTGGAGATGGAACTTAAGCCCTGGAGTGTAGGCTACATTACTTCCCAGGTCCTCTAAATATGAGTCCTTCTGGTCCCCTTATTAAGTCTGGGTTCCCCCCAAGTGTGGAGACTGTGGGCCTCCAATGACTTCTAGAATAGAGCTTACAAGAGCTCAAACCCTCAGGGATCAGCTGTAATGTTGAGTACAGATGCGTCACCAG